CGCCAATAGAGGATAGCGTCTTGAATAATCCATCCTCTTTATGACACCTTTGGTCAGCGCCTGTTGCGCATCATATCCACCAGTTTTTTAATGTTGCCTACGTGACAGAGTTCAGTGGAACGGCATTCATCCCATCTTAAGCACCCATTCTCAGAGACTGCAGTGTATTGAAGCAGCGTTATCGAACAATCCTCATTGTCATATAGTTTGTTTTCCTATTTCTTTGGTGCCGTGATGACCGTGTCATGCTGTTCGTTGTTATTATTTTGTTTTCTTTTTTATGTTAACTGTTTTTTTATTATGCTGAACAACATTGTCCCCGTATTATAGTACTGTTGTAGTTAAACCTCATTTTCGACTTACATGGATTTCGTTTAGACTGGTCTGGATTATGGTGGCGTTGCACGGGAATGGTTTTTCCTGCTCTCACACGAAATGTTCAATCCCTATTACGGCCTGTTCGAATATTCAGCTACGTACGTGTGCAATTTGTGTAAAGCTAAGGCAGCCCCAATTTCTTCCTTTGACTTTGGAAGACAAGATGCATTTTTGGCTATATATACACATATATCTGAAGATAGAATATTTTGTTCCTGCATATTGAAAAACAGCATAAAGCATTGTTTATTAATGTACGACGCAAAAATTAGTAAGGTCAGTCATTACCGACGTTTCGGCCCGTGTCTCACGAACCTTCTCGAAGGTAGGAGGTTATAGAATTTCGGAGGTTTTTCTGTTGTCCGCAGCGAATGGTAGGTTTGGAACTGGAAGGTCTTCTGGGAGTTGAAGTTTGCTGGATCAAGATGGATGAAAATTTTAGATAACAGAAATTTACTTTTAAACAGTCTTGGAGAAGCCTTTATCTGTCAGTTGATCAACAAAAGCTAATGATGATGCTAATGATATGCGTTCAGTTTCAGATTGGTTTGTTTTAGTATCCTCAAGGACTTGACAAACAGCCATCTCACATCCAGGATAGCTGTTTGATACATGGAAGTGACCATTTAAATAATTTCAGTGCGTTTTCAGAATCTCTTATCACACTTTTTTCCCTAAGGTCAGGGTCTCGTGAGCCCACGAGTCTTTGGACTTCAAGCAGGAGAGTGATTCACCTACTGTTAAGAAAGACCACTGCGTCTTTAACTGGTGCCCAACGTTTTTTATAAGCTCGGTGTAGAGAATTTCAGCGTCTTTGCCGTTTCGTTCTCAGTTTAAGGCTTTTCGCTTATAGGGAAACTTTTAAAAAAGTTAGTAGTTTTTGGAATTTCGATTCTCTTTCATAATGCGCCTATTTCTGACTCCCTGATTTTCATGAAGGTAATGGTAAACTGATCTTTATTTCGATGTCATCAGCCACGATTGTTTTATTTTTTATGACAGAGTCGACTGCAAGCGTAGTGCGTAGCGCGTAGCCTGTTTCTGTTTCACAGAGTAATAGTCATTTATCAACCTAAGAAAAGAAGAGTAAGGTGAATGACCCCAGACCCGGTACTCGAACTCGGGCTCTCTCGGTTATGAGTCCGACGCTCTACCGACTCAGTATGTTCACTTACGTTACAATATAACAGTCAACAGTGGGATGCATTTCAATTTTTTTGAACAGACGACAGAGTTAATTTATAGACGAAAGCGATCCACGTCAAATAATTATGATTGCATCATAAACTGGTTAGCCGTTGTGCTCGACTAGTTTCCTGATTATTGTAGGAAGGTGGTTTGTTCTCTTTGGCAAACTTTTTTATCAGCCAACAAGTTGGAGAAATTGACATGCGGTTAAAGAGGATCAGGAAGGTGCGATGAAATTTATATTCAAATGTACCGCATTTTTGTGTCATCCACGGGAGCGCCGAACAAAAGTTTGGCCATCGCACTACCAGTAGTAGAGCATAAAACTGTATTATTTTCGTATGACTTCTGGGGCCGATCAGTTCCTTTCTTTAGTTGTAAGGTCATTTGGGGAGAGAGCAGTTTCCGAAGTAGATTCTACAGTGAAATGCTCGCTGATTCTGTTTATTATTTGTTTACCGAATTTTTGTTTAGTGACAACTACACGCTGCAGATCAATCCTAACTCTGGCTTATGCAACGACGATCACTTGTCATATTTCAAATTTATTGGCCGCGTCATGGGCATCGCGTTGTATCATGGAAAGCTGCTAGACGGTACGATGGCTTTGAATTTCGGTTGTGTAACCACGCGTCTTGTCAGTGGGTCTGTAATGATGGTGAGGTCACTGGAGCTCTCAGGAAGATACTGTTCGCTATGTGTCATTGAGCTACCTACGTGCGATGAACTTAGTGAGGTTATATTTGGAGATTCCTTCTCGCCATGTCTTTATGGCAGCGATCCAGAGGCAGATCGACAGATACATGGAGGATACAACTTCGTCGAGCAGATCCTTTTATTATGTTCACAATAGTTCAAGGCCGCCATGGTCGCTGGTCACGGTTCATTTGGGCAGAGGTTCTAATTCTGACCATGTGCGACTGATGAATACTGGAATTTTAATGCATTATACATAGTCAGTCAGTACGTAAAACTTACTTTAGTGATCTCTAAGGCACACTGTAAATTGCCGAGACATTAAATATAACAACGAACAGATATAAAAGAACAAGTGAAACATTGGATCCCTAACAGGCTAAAAAGTCTGGTCTAAAATAACTGTTCTTCCTTCTCGAAATCAATCTGAAGTTGAACAGTGAACAGAACCGCTGACCTTTGGTAAACCTTATCCCGAAATCTGCCACGAACGTACACTGATTTTGTGCTTGGTCACTTAGAAATGCACTGTTGGAAACATTGCTACATCGGATGGGTTGAACTGATTAGAATAAAACTACCCAGAATAACTCTTACCTTTATTAAGTAGTATGCTGATTTGTACTCAACTGTTAGTCGATGCAAAGCGAATTTTGTTTATTATCTTCACTCATGAAAGATCATAGCTGTTCATAGTTTGGCTTACTCCTTACCGCTTATGAAGCTTTCGCCATCAGGAATCTTTTTTGTTTGCTGCATATTCAGTTTTTGATAAATATTTATTATTTGTTCTCTGAGCACATGTACTTATTTAGCATTTTTCATTCGGCCATTTTACAAGATGATGCTCGGAAAGCAGATTACTCTGAATGACATGGAGTCAGTGGTAAAACTTAGATTCTTCTGAGCTTCAGCCTACTTTATTGTGAAAAATGTTCATTTTTTCAGGACTCTGAATATTACAACTCGCTTCTGTGGATCGAGGACAATGATCCTACAGAACTCGACCTTCGTTTCGTCGTCGACGAGGAAGTGTTTGGCGTGACGCAGACACGTGAGCTGAAACCTGGGGGACTCGACATACCGGTGACGAACGAGAACAAAGACGAATACATCAAGTAAGAGCATTGAAAATTTGTTTATTGGAATTCGTTTTGTTTTTGTGAATTACTGTAACAAAAATGTAATTATTTTTCAATTGCATCTTCCGCTACCTAATGTGTCAATTTGTATCGTAGTCATTTATAAGACTTGTAGCTGACAGTTTGGTCCGAGCACACGTAGTCTTTATCTTAATGAATCCTAAGCCCTTTATCACCCAGAATTCGGATCGTCGTTCTGCTACGCGCTTGTCGATGAGCTTTCCAAAAGAGGTTTCCCAGTCATTTTACAACAATTTTATGATCTTTGTTGCATTAAGTGAAAGTTTTCGTTTGTATTCTCGTGTTAGACTTCTGATAAGTCATGCCGAACACAACAGCAGAACGTGCACGGGGTTTAGCTTTGGTTAGAAATTTTGTTAATGAAGTACTTTTGCTTAATCGTCCATAATTTTTGCAAATAAATTAAAAAATATAATTTATTATTATTAAG